GAGGGATGGTAAGACAGCATCCCACTTCAGGGAGTGAGTTGGTTTAAGTTCGGTAGTGCTTGTAAGATGAGGGGGTTTCCTAAACTCAGCATGGGGGGCCGTGGGGGGCTCCGTGAGAGCTTTCCTGCCTTCCAGGCCGGAGACTCAGATTCAATTCCCAAACAACGCACCTAGGCACAACCACAAGGCTTCTCTCAGAGGTGCCCAGCTGTCCCCAGTGCTGCCAAACAGAGATGGACTGACGATGATCTACTTCTCACAGCCAACCCATGAAAACCCTACGGATAATACTGGTCCCCAACCGATCATAAGGACAGTCTAGGACAAGACAGCCTTCCACTGTGCCTGGTTCCCACAACCCAGGGGCTCTCTTCGCAGCAGTAACAACTCTCATGGGCTCACAATGGAGGGAAGAAATACAGAAAAATTTAAATGATACCATTCAAACAGAACCGTTTGGGTGCTAAGTGCTGAGCAAAGGTAAAGCTATTGATGATAGAGTTGGTTTTAAGTTTCCCCTTAAGAAAATAACGCTTGAGTTGAGCTCTGTACTTGTTTTCTATTGCTGTAGAGCAAATGGCCATCAACTCGGTGCTTAAAACAGCACACATTCATGAGTTCATCATTTCTGTGGCCCAGACACAAGGGAGTTGGGTGTCCCCAAGCTGAAACCAAGGTGTTGGCTAATATTGTGACCTCCTCCGAGGCTCGGGCTCACCTTCCAATCTTATCCAAGTTGTTGGCAGAAGGGCTTCGTGCCTCGCTGTGGCATCCAGGACTGAGGCCCCATTTCCTTGCAGCTCCCCCAAGGCCCCCCTGTCCCAGCAGAGTAGATTACTTCTGCCAAGGCTTCAGGAAAATTGCTCTAACGCAAAGAATCACTTTGTGTAACCTAACCAAGGGCGTAACCGTCCCACCAGATTCGCACGGTCTGCCCACACTCAGCGGCAGGGGATCCTAGAGAGTGCTGTGGATTGGATTATGTTTCCTAAAACCGTGTGCTGAGACTCCTAAACCGTATGTGCCAGAGTCCACTCAACAAGGATAGATGTAGCTGTGGCTGCGATCTCAGTTGGCAGTAGGTTTCTTTGGTATGTTCGTGAGGGTAGACCAGGGTAGGTTCCCTGGAACCACTCCTCTACGAGGCAGAAAAGGGGCAATAGGCATGGAGTGCAAAGAAGCACAGCTGAGGAAGGACTGGTGACATGTAGAGAGCACCAAGAAACCGGGGAGGAGACACTAAGGAAATAAGGATGTATTTCCTTAATACCCAGAATGGACAAAGAGAGGCTTCGCCCGGAGCCAGGGCTCTAAATACAGACTCCTATCCTCCTCATGTGAGAAAATAAAGTCTTGTTTGCTAACGCCACTGCCTTGTGGTCCTTATGTTTCATCAACACTAGGAAGCAAAGATACAGGGCATGTATGCCAGAGGATGGGAATCTTAAAGGGGTCGTGTTAGAATTCTGTCTACCAAAATCTGAATAATAAATTAAAATAACCTCAGTGAAGCGTAGATTCAAAGATGGGAGATGAATGTTCTAGAAAGAGGGGATGGTACTTACAAAAACCATGGAAGCCTCTGGAAGCATGCTTGCTCTAGTGGCATGATTGTTCAAGAAAAATGGAAGAGCCCATCAACAGTAAAATGGATAAACAAATGGAATACTATTCAACAATAAAATACTGGAAACAATGGAATACTATTCAACAATACAAACTAAGAATCTGGGAAGCATCTCATAACATGGATGATGTGGAGAGCATCAGACTGAGTGAAATAAGCCCATCACAAAAGGACAAACAGTGTATGAGACCCCCATTGTGAAAAGGTTTTCATACAAAAAGAAGCATTCTTGTATGGTTGCCAAGAATAGGAGGGGAAAGGAGGAAGGGTAAGTCACTAACGAGAGGGCAGATGCACATGAACTTGGGTGAAGGGGAAGACAGTATCTAATGAGAGGGAGGTTGACAAAAAGTGGAGATAAGGAATGACAGGAGTGCAAGAAGTAAATACTATTATATACACAAGCCTGCAATGAACGTGATCTATACTGAGGGTACCACGGACGGCTAAAGGGACACACCGATCTGTCTCGGAAGAAGTCTGACCATTTGGGGGAAATGCAGAGTCTCCTGGGAATGAGGTGGTGGCTGGGCCACCTTGAGGAATGGAGGCTGCTGCTCCTATCCCCAGTGATCCTGCTGGACCATGTCAACGTGTCAGTACACGAACAGTGTTGGGGAATATAAATGCCTCAAAGCTGGAGCATTATGTCTTCCCACAGTATTAAGAGGGACTTAAATCACGTTTCTTTGGGGAACATCTCTTGCATTTGGGGAACAAAATAAAGTCTGAAGGTGCAAGATCAGCACTGTAGGATGGATGCGGTAAGATTTCCCCACAAAATTCTCACAGGACAGCCCTGGCTACTCGTGAATAATGAGCTGGTCTTCTCATACAGTCATATCAGACTGAAAAGAAATGACTCCAATGCTGTGACAGTTACATAATCATGTCAATTTGAGGATTCAGAGTGAAGGGATAGAGTCTAGCCTGTCAATCAGATAGTAGCTTGTGGGGTTAAAGGGAAGAGGGAACTCCACAAAACATCACAGGTTTGGTAGGCGCAATTGTACAGCGATAATAAGTAGAGATTATAGTAAAGTCATAGAGAGCATGAGAGTTAAAGGGTGGAGGTAATGGAGTTAGATGCAATTCATGGTAGCATTGCTCACCTCAGCCCCACTTGATGGTCCTCATGGAGGGGGCTTAGCCGTCAGAGTAGAAGCCGCTGCCTCATCCTCCTTAGCCACCTTCTCCAGCCACCCTCCTGAGAACCAGGGAGCCTCATTATTTATTGCTAACCACGCATCATATTACTTTAGGGGGATACATCACAGCATCATGCATCATAGAGAGGGGCAATACAATTCACAACAACCTGCGTCATAGGGAGGGATTGCAACATAGGTAATACAAGCAATAGAAGGGGGATGACCTAGTCATGTAAGAGTGGTCCCAGGCTTGCCTATGGGCACTGCTTCAAGGGAACAATAACAGAAAGCAATGGGCCCTATTTGTTATGGGATAAACAGTGGTGTCTGCTGATACCTCTCAGTGAGAATGACTCCCAATCCATTCTTGATGGCTGATGTTAAGGAGAATAACCTCTGACCTACTTTCGCTGCCTAGTGAACAATCATTGGCTCCCCAGACTCTGAATTCTTCAAGGGAGGGGCTGTCCTCTGAGCTCTGTGTCCTAAGTGCTCACAGTGCCTGATAACACACAGTGGGTGCTCAGCAAGTATGCAGTGTGAGTTTTCAGCCCTTATTTCTTTGAGCTCCTGGGTGGGCAAAAGATTAACAGGCTGCCTACTGAAAAGCTGGGATCCACCAAGGGGCACTTTGAAGAAAGGCCTGATGATCTAGTTCCCAAAAAGTCAGCCACTGAAAATCCAAGGAAGCGCCAGTCTGCTCCGGCACACAGCGGGTGGCCAGGCCAGGCTGGATGGAGTCCATGGGAACCCGTGAGCTGCAGATGACAGCATGGATCCACCTGCAGACGAGGGGGCTCAGAGAGGTGAGGCAGACTAGCAAAAGAAACTCCATCTTCGTAAACTGCCCGTTCCTCCTCCCATCTCAGAAAGTTGACTGCTGGCTGACCTGCCTGTTCTCCCTCCTCGGATGGGACAGTCTCTGCTGGGAATTCATTTTAGAATGTTCTCCCAGGTTCTGGACACTACAATTAGGTTCAATTATTCTTCAATATATCGTTTGTTCTGATTCAATATTGTTCCCTTGAATGTTGTAATCTGAATGGTGTAGTTAATCTTGTCATGATAACCAAAATGTTACAATATAATTTTGTTATGGTAACCAGGATGTTATAATCAATTTTGGTATTGTTTCTTTTATGATAAGGATCGTACCTTGTAATGCATTCTTACTCTTCTTTAAGTTACAATTAATCCATTAATTTTGCTTTCTGCTTCTGTTCATGCTTGCTTGAACCCTCTACAGGTGATAAATGAGTTTTGCAGCCTCAAAGATGGACTGAGATGTGGAATCGCTTTTAGATTCCAGCAGTCCGGTTATAACCAAATAAGGACTCTTCTACATTTCAAGACATGATAGTGGCTGTCATTTATTCGAATCTGCAACAGCGGTATGGAGTAAGTTATCCTGCGTCACAGATCGTGGGAGCGGAGGGGAAGGTTCTGATTCACTCCAGTGGGAATCCCAAGCCCAAGCCTCGGAGCCTGAGGAGATGAGAAGCAGATCAGGAAGCTGCAGAGAGACCACGATGCTCTGCAGTGACTCAGAGCAGTATTTCGTAAGGGCACCAACAAAAGCCCCACTGACGTGGGGTCCACTCCTAGTGAAGTCCACTTTTGAAGCTGAGTAGAATTGAGCCCACGGCGTTTCTAATGCTGTCTCTATGGCAGTGCGTTTGTTTTTGTTTTGGGAACCGTTAAGAAATCGCCACCGCTTTCTTCCATCGAGTGGGTCCCAACCACTAGCCTCTCAGTTAACAAGGGCTCCGTATGTTGGGCAAAAGGGACTGTGCAATGAAATTACCACGTCACCGTGCATCCTCGAAAGAGATCCCAGCAGGCCCGTGGATCTACACGGCGATTCCTCTCGAGTACTCCTGCTCCACGCCAGCCACCTCTTCTTTTAGGGCTCCCAGCCGCGCGGATGTCCAGCCCCCCAATTTGGGGTGGTTCTACATTTTGCAGAAGTCCCAACCAGTTTAAGCATAAGCGGATCGAAGTGGCGCGGACCAGGAGGTCGGAGGGGGCGGGGTGGGGGTGCTGCAGACCTGCCCCGATCGATCGGGCACCCCGCACCGCGGCTGCTGCGCCCGCCCCCCGCCGGGCTCCCAACGGGAGGGAGAAGGGGCGGGGCGCACAGCGACCCTGCCCTGCGGCCCCGCCCCCGTCGCGCTCCGCGGCGCATTGTGGGATCCGTGCGCTTGAGTGGCGGTGGAGGACGCGGGGCTCGATCATGGGGATCCAGCCGGTGAGACCCTTACTCCACGCCGCGCGCCAGGCGGCCTCGCCTCCTCGGCCTCTGGGCACTCGTGCCCCGCGCCGGGGGCTCTCCCTGCAGACCCCGCCCCCGCAGGGCTCTGGACCCGCCCTGGATGCCCGGGGCAGGGTACCGCTCGCTTCTCCCGGGTGGGGACCCTGCTCAGTTTACTCCTCGGACCCCCGGCTGGCTTCCACCAGGGAGCTCAAGGTCGCCCCCCATCGGGCGGCTGGCGGGGCGGGGACGGTCGCCACCCATGCCCCGAGCGCTTGACCAGCCTGGCGGTCGCGCTGCCTCCTCTACCCGCAGAGCCCGGTGCTGCTGACCTCCCTGGGGGTGGGCCTCTTGTCTCTGCTCGGCCTGGCTCTGGGCTCCTACCTGATTCGGAGGTCCCGCCGGCCGCGAGTCACTCTCCTGGACCCTAATGAGAAGTACCTGCTGCGACTGCTAGACAAGACGGTAAGCAGTGAGGAAGGGGTCGGGCTGGCGGAAAGTGGCAGAACTGCCCCGGGTGGGAAGCAGACAACACCCAGGGCAGCGTCTGAGGGGGGTGGGAAGCCCCCGCGGGGCCTGGTGGCGCCCGTCCAGCTTGGTCATCCACATTGTCATCCTTCCTTCAGACTGTGAGCCACAACACCAAGAGGTTCCGCTTCGCGCTGCCCACCGCCCACCACGTTCTGGGACTGCCTGTGGGTAAGGAAGTGTGGCACTGGACTCCAGTGGGCCACTCCCCGAACACGTGCTCTTTCCCATAGCTGGGCCCCTCTGGGGTGTGGTTCCTGCGCCCCCAGCCATCTTTGATACTCAGCCGTCTTCCATCCTCCCCGCATGATTTGCTCATACCACCCCCCTGAGCAAGCGCTGACTGGTTTTCCCACGGCCCAGACCCTCGGCCCATCTGCTTTTGCTAAGGTCCTGGCAGTAATGGAGAAGTTTCTCCAGGGAGGGACTTATGAGGAAGCCAGGCTCAAAGAAGTGAATCCTCCCTGCCCGGTCGTTCTTGGGCTCCACATGCTCCTTTCTCTAAAACCTCCCTGAGGGTTTTGAAAGCTGGAAGGCGCACAGCAGATCCGCAGGCCACCCTTACAGAGCTCCCTGCCTGATCCCCAGGCCAACACGTGTACCTGTCTGCCCGAATCAACGGCAGCCTGGTCATCAGGCCGTACACTCCTGTCACCAGTGATGAGGACCGTGGCTACGTGGACCTTGTTATCAAGGTGAGGCAGTAGAAAGGAACTCCCAGGATCTCTTTATACCACCCTTAGTAGGATTAGTGGAAACGTCCCAGATTTATTTGATAGCAAGAGAAGACATGTCCTTTGTTGCTCTGAACAAAACCTGTGGTGCGGGGTTGGGGGAAGACAGCAGGTGTGGAGTCTGTGCTACGGCCTCCAGCCTATGGGCTGCTCTGGCCATAGGGTACTCAGAAACCAGTGACATTCCAAATAAGATATTGTCCATTTTGTCTGATCAGGTCTACCTAAAGGATGTACACCCCAAATTTCCTGAGGGAGGGAAGATGTCTCAGTACCTGGATAGCCTGAGGATTGGGGATGTGGTGGAGTTCCGGGGACCAAGTGGATTGCTCACTTATGCTGGGAAAGGTAATGGCCTCTCTTCTCCTAAGGCCTATATTGTCCAGCTCGACATGACACGGAAGGGTTTGCAGCTGAATTCACCAGCTATCCCAGCTGTGAAGATTACTAAAACAAACATGTTTCCTCCCACTCTGATCCCCAGCCTTCAAAGTCTCACACCTCTGGATGAGCTGTGGAGCTAGCCAGAGAGAGCTTTCAGCCCTTCCCTTGGGGGCAGCGGGGTGCATTAGCAAGCCTCTGGGGTTCTTCTAGCCACTTGAGAACATTGATTCACACCTGGCGCTTTGCCTGTCCTCCTGGAGAGGGGGTGACCTCTCTAACAGAAGCAGCTGGTGACTCAACAGATAGCTCTGGCTTGCATTGTCCGTCCGATATAGTATTTGTCAGGGCTAGCTAGCTCAACGCCGGCCTCCACCCAGGTTCCAGAATCAGATTTCAGTAGCAGCTGCTGAGCGGGCTTGGGACATCAGTTCACTTCTCTACTTGTTTTCTTAGTTCCCTGTATTAACTGTATCCTTCCTCCCTGCTCTTCCCTCGGCTCCTCAGGGAATTTTCACATTCAGCCCAACAAGAAATCTCCCCCAGAACGCCGAGGGGCAAACCAACTGGGAATGATTGCCGGCGGGACAGGTTGGTGTCACTTGAGGGGCCACTCTCTCTCACCACTGTTGATTGTTACCATGCAGACTTACAAGTGGCATGTGCAAGGTCTGGTCATTGCCGCCAAGCTGTTCATCAGGGACTCCCAGCAATGCCTGGTGCTCCCCAGTACCTGAACAACAAAACCACACACAGGTAGAAGATAAAAAGAAAACTTGCCAAAACCAGAGAAATAAATCAAATGGCCTCTCTCATGGATTTTAAATTGAACAGATCTAATAATTTTTACAGACGTGTAGACCAAAGCAGCTAGAAATGGTAGTCTAGTCGGGAAGAAAGAAAATTAACATCGGGGCACTACTGTGTATTGCACACTGTGCTAGTCACTTTACGTATGTCTCTGAAGCAGGCATTTGTCTTCCCATTTTACAGATGAGAAAGTAGAGGTTCTGAGGGGTTCTTTGGGAACCTTCCCAGGGGGAAGATTCTCCAGGGGGTTATTTAAGTGGTGATGAGCAGAAGCAGGATTTGTCTGTCTGAATCCAAAGCACTTGCAGGTCACCACTGCAAATGCAGTGACTCATTATTGAGTCAGTAGATACATGTAGTCATCCATGACCATCCTAGACTCCTAGGGACTTTTAGAAGCAGGGTCTTTGAGCAGTTCCTTAAAAGAATTTTTTTTAATGAATTTAGGTAAATATTGAGGGTACCCACAGTTCAAGCATGATTTGCAGTGAGTTTGGGGCAAATGACATATCTGTCCAGAAACATAGGTGTTAACAGAATACCAAGGAGAAGAGGCCAGAGGATTAAGCAGCATAGCGAATGTATAGAGTTAAGATGACAGTGGTCAGCTAAGGAGCAGAGGCAGGGGAGAGAGTGTGACCGCCTTATCTCACTAAGAGCTATCTTTGGGCAGGGATCACCCCGATGCTACAACTGATCCGGGCCATCCTGAAAGACCCTGAAGATCCAACCCAGTGCTTCCTGCTTTTTGCCAACCAGGTTCGTTTGCTTTTCTCAGTCCTGAGACTTCAGAGCTGCTCTATGGATGGAACTGAAATGCCCCAACGAGCCCACCTGACCCAGTGTGTTCTCTCCTCTGCCTAAAGTCCCCCCCCTGTTCAAGGAGAGGACCCTCGACTCTAAATAAGGAAGAGACAGAACATTGGGTCAGATTTCTTCCCAGGTCTCCAAGAAAAGAAGAAAACATTTAAGAAAAAGAGTCCCAAGACAAGAAACTTGTGTCTCCTTGGGAAACACGTTGTGTGTGGTGGCCTTGAGTTGGTTCTGACTCATCATGACACCATGTGACGGAGTGGAAATGCCCCATAGGGTGCCTTGGGGTTCCTGGGAAGACCCTCAGTAAGATGGCTTGACACAGTGGCTGCTACCACAGGCTGACACATAACCTCTTGACATGTGTGTCCGTGAAGCAGGTGCTTCTTTGCCTTCCCGTTTTATAGATGGAGGTACAGGACCCGACAACCTTGCTGTGAGTTGGAGCTGCCTCATTGGTGCCCAACAACAATCTTCATGGAAGTAGATTGCTAGATCTTTCCTCCTGCGGCGTGGCTGCTCTGTTCAAACCGCCAACCCTTCGTGAACAGCTAACGGCTTAACCGTTGCACCACCAGGGGCCTCCCCCGGTTAAAGAGTCTATTACTTCAACCTGTGTAGATGGGGCCCTGGTGAGCCGTTTGAACCCACCAGCTGCTCCTCGGGAGAAAGATGAGGCTTTCTACTCTCGTGAAGATCTACGGTCTTGGAAACCCCAGAGGCAGTTCTGCCCTAACCGACAGTGTCTCTGCGAGTGGGTTCCGACCCGAGGGCAGTGAGTTGAGGACTGGGTAGATAATGTGTGTTTCTCTCCCCTTCCCCGAATCTTAACTGCCTAAAAGGACGATCAGGTCTTTCTAATTTCTTGGACCTTTGGTTATTCTTGTTCTCTTAGGTGGAAAGTGGTTATAGAAGAGAATTTCAGTGTGTGTGTGGGGGGGAGGGGGCTGGGAAGGTTCCCAAAGACTTTGTCTCCCCTTTTCGTTTCAGACTGAAAAGGACATAATCTTGCGGGAGGACTTGGAGGAACTACAGGCCCAATATCCCAGTCGCTTTAAGCTCTGGTTCACTCTGGATCAGCCCCCGAGAGGTACCCTCCACACTGCAGGACATCCCATGCCCCTCATCACAATCGAGGCCATGCTCCTCGGCGAGTGCTGCCAAGTCTAAGTGCACACACACACACTAGTCCCCTGGGCCTTTTCCTTCCTCTTCCCGTTCTCATTCCTGGTGGGTGGCAGATATGATTGTGCTGTGCAGTCTGGGCCTGAGGCAGGCTGAATATACCCCTCCAGGGCTGGGGGGTGGGCTTATTATACCTGACTTGTGCTGGGGGCGGGCTGAGTATACTCCTCCAGTGCTGGGAGGAGCTGAGTATACCTCTTCTGTGCTGGCAGTAGGCTGAGTATCACCCTCCAGTTCTGTGGGATGGACTAAGTATAACACCCACCCCCCCCAGTTATAGGGGTGGGCTGAGTGTACATCTCAGTACCTCCTAGAGTGCCCTCCTGGTCCATCCCCACTGGCACATCCCCAAGGCCCCCTGACCCCCTGCCAGCATGTGTTTAGAATGCCAGTCCTTTCCTCTCCCTTATACTTTAGATTGGGCCTACAGCAAGGGCTTTGTGACTGCCAACATGATCCAGGAGCACCTGCCTGCCCCAGGAAGTGACGTGTTGATCCTGCTCTGCGGACCACCTCCAATGGTGCAGCTGGCCTGCCATCCCAACTTGGACAAACTGGGCTACTCACCAAAGATGCAGTTCACTTACTGAGCGCCCTCCAGCTTCCCTGGCCCCATTCCCTGCCGTTGTCCCCAGTCCGGGCCCAACTGCTATAAGCCCTGGGGCCCTTATAGAATTAGCCTTTTGTGTCTTACTCTGGCGCTAAAATCAAAACACTATCTGCAGGGCCCACATCCCTCCTGCCCATGGAAGAGGACTAAATGGAAAGTGAGTCCCTGGAAGGCCCTCCAGCTCTCCCTGTGATACGAGGTCCCCATCCCGCCCATGGGGTCAGAAAGAAGGGAGCATGCACATGTATTCCAAGACTGGCGAGTCCTTTGATAGTGTTACAGGCTCACTTACTCTGTGATGAAAGGCACAATCCCTACAGTGACTTCACTTAATATTTGGTGCTTCACTCATAGGCAGGTTCGACATGGATAAGTGCAAGTTGAGCAAAAGACTATCAAAGTAGTGAGATCATAGGAGAAGAGAGAATTTCTTCAGGTCTCCAGGCCTCAGGGAAAAGGAGG